CCTCTTGGTTGAAAGTGCCAGCTTTCTTCCTTATTCCTATAGCAGGGCCTCGGAGGGATGTAAGGAAGGGGACAGAGGTCACCAGCTATCTTTGAAGGAAGAGCAGCCACAGAATACACACACCTAATGTCATTGGCCAAAAATCGACCACGTGACCACAGCTAGCAGCCAAGGATGGGAAGTGAGCCTGTGCTGGTACCTGAGTTCCTGGTTTGGGGGACCAGTGGTTTCTGTGAGGTTCAAAACCGACCAGGGTCAGGAGGTTGAATTTCTTGCATCAGTTCTCTGTCCAATCCTCTCCTCACCTCTCTAAGAACCTCAGCAGAGCTCACTGCCTTTCTGGCTTCTCAGTTAAAAAAGAGTCTGGATAGATTCTTGTTGTGACTCCAGTGTCAGTATGTTCAATAAGTACTAGCTATTATTATTGGGGACCTAGAACTGCTTCCTTTCCTTCTTTGACATTTTTTCCCTTTAAAAGTAGTAGCAGGCTTCTCCCTCGGAGGGCAGGTGGTTGTTTAGAGACACCAAGTGTCTCTAAACCAGTGAGCCATACTGCCTACACTAAGGAAGTAGAGTTCTTTCGTTAGACTTCCTGACCTGACCGTGCAAGATAAATATTAAAACCTGACATTCATAGATCTAAATAAGACCAGTATCCAAACATCTCCATATCCAGAGTCCTCCTTCTTGTCCTAGAGCTCTTTTCAAGTCCCAGTCCAAATGTACGCTCCTTCAAATAGTCTTCCTTTCTCTCCCTTCAAGTATTCTATTCCAAGGCAGAGGCAGTATCTCTCAGAACCCCTAAAGCTCCCCCTACACCCTTACCCTACTCAGCCTGGCCTTGCAATTTATGTTCACGCCACCGTCCTGCCAGTCAGCCAGTCCATCCAGCAGAACTAGTGCCAGGAACTACTTGGTTGCACCTGTAATGCCCTGCACACCATAGGTGAATTTAGCTACCTTGGCCTTAATGAAGTGAATTCGATCGGTTTGGGTACATTCAGCTATAAGAAAGGAAAAAACGAGTAGCCCCACGGCTGAGCTTTGGGTCACTACCTCTGTGTTCCTCATACTGTAGCCCTCCTGTTCACAGGATGGTTGCCACAGCTCCAAGCACCACTCTCCCTTTTCTTGGGGAGAATGCTAGAGCTTGGTCACATGACCAGTCCCTGGTGGAATAGAAGGAGACCCGGGGAAGTGCCACCAATTGTGTGTGCTTCCTGACCTTGGTGGGCCCACTGCTCTTCGTTAACAAAGAGGGGCCCTGGCTGTTGGATGTTACCTCAGCTTTGCTGACAGCCAGGGGAGCTTCTCCTAAAAGAGGGACACACTTCTGAAGGGGGGGCTAGTGTGTGGTTTCAAGCACTTACCCACCTGTGGATATCAAGAAGAATGAACTCCTATACTGTAGAGCTAGCATGTCTTATTGGCTTGCTGGGCAACCTTGGGCATCTGGTTTAACCTCTGTGCACCAGTGTGTCCTCTGTAACAACACTGAACTCTACTTCCCCGGGGCTGTTTCTGAGATTATGCATACTAATACACACCATGAAAACTGAGGAGGGCTCATAGCATTTGGCAATCTTGCTGCTCCTTTGGGACAGGAATGACAACTTTAAAACTTTAGAGAAGTTGGGTGTCCTGCCACATGCCTGCAGCTGCTAACGAGAAAAGAATGCTGCCGCATGGAGAGTGTTGTTCTCAGTCCTCCAGTCCTGTCTACCCAAGAGTCTTTTGAGTACTAAGGCGACAGGTGTGCCTGCAGGCTGAAGATTTCCCATAGGTGTCTCCGAACTGTATTGTGGATGATCTGAAAAGAGGACTGGTGTGTCTTTCCTTGTCACCCCTGCCACCGAAGAGGCCACTAAACCTGGGTCCCTCTGCCAGGAGGGGCTACTCCCAAGGGGGAGGGGGAGGTATTCTACCTGGTCAGTGGTTGAAGGCAGATCCAGTGATGTCCAGCACCGAAGGGAGGCCCAGGGTGGACTTCCCAGCCTTGGGGGTGAGGGGTGCTTTGAATGACAGGGCAGATCTCTACACACACACGATGCTCATGTTTCAGGAAACTGCTGTTAAAGCAGTAAGTCTTAGCAGCATAAAAAATGAACACAAATCAATTTGTGTCTGAATTTCCACTCAGAATTCCCCATGGACACTGTAGAATACTTCATTTCTACCCATCTAGCTGTGGAGGTAGTCACAGATTTACATTATTTTACATGCAGTTAAGGCTCTTTTTTTGCCCCACCTCTCCTTTTGGGTATGGTTCTTAAGAACATTTATTGCCAATAAAGAGGTGTTTTGTTAAAGAGAAGAGTGCCCTTTAGCTGGTAATAGAATGTTATTTCCTAAACACCTATAAAACTATTACTCAAGCTGGGATGGCTGGGTCCCTGATTCAAAGGGGAGCTCCATGCATTGTTACCTCAGGTGCCCTGTGAAACGGCTTTGCTTTATTCATGGCCCCATGAGGAGGCCACAATAGAAATGGGGGGACCCAGCCCCACAGGTCTCTGCACAGTCGCAGATGCACCGGAACACAAGCTCAGGACTCTGCCAACAACTGGCCTAAGTAAGACAGGGGCTCACAAAGAACTCCCGGGCTGCAGCTGGGCCTGGGCAGATCCACACGGACCGGGGTGATGCAGGAGGGGCACCAGCCCCAGTGGGCATGGGGCCAACACCACAGGCAAACCAGGTCTTGACTCCTGACGCTGCTGTTTGTCTGTATCTCTGAAGCAAGTTGTGTGGTCTCTCTGTGCCTCAGTTCTCGCTCTTGAGAACAGAACCAGTAATAACAATAGAGCCCTCCTTTGCCAGGATGCTAGGATTCAAAGAGGTGTGCTTTGGGGCTGAAGGTATAGCTCAGAGCCTGCACTTAGCATGTGCAAGGTGCACACACACACACACACACACATACACCCCTGAAATGTATGTGACAATTTCTGCCTTTAGAGGCCCCAGTTAATGTCACTAAAAAAGGAGGGGCCAGAGAGTAGCATCTCTAGCTCCTCACTTTGTGGTAGTTGGTTTCGTTGGTGATCAAGGAAGCCTCCGAACCCCTTGCTGGGCCAGATCACTGGTCAGCCCTGAGTTCACATGCCACTGACCTGGAATCTTAATTGTTTTATTGGGGCTGAACCAGAGGTTGTTCATACTGATGATGAACAGGATTGACTGGACAAGATCTAAAGTCATCTGTCTTAGTCCTTTGGGGCCATTCTAGCAGAATATCATAAATTGGGTGGATTTTCAGCAACTGATATTGGATTGAGATGTCCAAGATCAGGATGCTGTCAGATTTAGGGTCAAATGGGGACCCACTCTCTCTGCCTTTGGAGCTTCTCCACTGTTTTGGACTCCTGAGGCATCTGTAATCCTCAACAGAACTGAGCACATAGCACCTTATTCTGACAGACGCTGAAGCATGCAGTCTGTGTTGGCCGGTCAGTGTGGGCTGAAGCTCTGCTTCCGAATGAAGCTCAGAGGTAAATACAGTACCACAGTAATACCTTAAATCACGATGACGGTTACCATCATGGACCCTTCCTGGCACCTCTGCGGTATATTCGCCCCCTTCATCTCTATGACAGTGTTAGAAGGCATGTGCTACTCTATGCATCTTATTTGATATTTTCAGTTTGTGTAGTGCTGGGGGTGGAACCCAGGGCTTACACTGACAAACATCCCACCGTTGAGCTCCATCTCCAGTCCTTTATGCATTTTAAAGTTTGGGTGATCATAAATATCCCCAATCTCTCTTAATATTTGTGTTTTTATTTCTTAACATTTTATTTCTTAATATTAAGCAAATATTGCTTATTTGTTTATTCCCTCATTGAGCCAGGCTCCAAAACTTGAAATGCCTGGTGCCTCACAAGAGGCTCAGATCTGAGGGCTGAAGTTCAAATCCCAGCCCAGGTAGACAAATTCAAAAGACTCTTATCTCCAATTAACCAGCCAAAAGCTAGAAGTAGAGGTGTGGCTCAAGTGGTAGGGCTCTAGCCTTGAGCAAAAGAGCCAAACAAGAAGGAGCACAAGACTTGGAGTTTAAGCTCCAGTACCAGAAAAAAGAAAGAAAGAAAACAAAAACCTTGAAGTAACTCTATGTTTTATACCATACCCACATCACTCGGACCCTGTGGCAACGAAGGTGTCTAAGACTTGCTATTTTACAAAAGACGTTGGGTTCTTCCCTGAATCTGTTTCCTGGAGGAGTTGTGGTAGGTTAAAAACTCAGTTCTTTTAAATCTGTGTATTTGTACTTGAGGGAAATGCAGAGGCTTTGGGATTCCTGTGGTGATGGTCCAGACCTGTGTTTTCCTATGTATATAACACACAGGCCTGTCTTCTCCCAGCCCTGGATCCTCAGCTTTTGCTGCCTGGAGAGAATGTTTACTGAGGAAACCTCAGGCACTCAAGTGAAACTCATACAGGAGTCATAGTACAGTGTGAGGAGCTCAGTATTTTAATGAAGGCTCAGGAATATCAGACTGAGGCTGTTGTCAGTGAGGGGGGAGATGACTGTTACCATGATCAGTGACCCACTGGTCACTTTTTACAGGGATCCTGTGACCTTTCTTGTCCTCTGGAACTTCACTTCTCAGACTCTGTGGTTCTGTTAATAAAAAGAAAGATAATCACTACTTTGCCCTCATTTATCGTGAACCTTTCCAAATCTTTTTTGTTGTTGTTGAGGATGAAACTAGAAATCACCCCCCTTTTTATTTTTTTACAGTATTTATGTGCATATGGATTTTCCTCTCAGATTTAGTCAATGCTTGCTCTGTAATGCGAGTTTTAACTTTGTGTTTTCCTTCCCATTATCTCTGAAAGGGATGGATTATGGAGAAAAGATTAAAGCAGTATAATGTGATACGGTATTTGCTAATATGCTGTCAGTGGTATTAGTAGGACTCAGCGAGGTTTGGGTCTTTTCATGAATGCCTTTCAGAGCGCAATTATCTAATAGACTTGGAAACCTGTTTGTATTCTTGCAGGCATTAAATGTCGTCTTTGAAAAAATCCCAGAAAACGAGAGTGCAGATGTCTGCCGGAATATTTCAGTCAACGTTCTTGACTGTGACACCATAGGCCAAGCCAAAGAAAAGATTTTCCAAGCATTCTTAAGCAAAAACGGCTCTCCTTACGGACTTCAGCTGAGTGAAATTGGTCTTGGTAAGGTGACAAGTTAGCCACTTTGTCCTGGCCCACCCTCCTCCATTCCTTTCTGCTTGCTCTCAGATCCTGTTTGGTGACACTTAGGTGGCCCACATTGTTTCCTGAGGGCAGGTTTTGGAGCTGAGGGACTGCTTTGCTCTTGTGCAAGCATCTTGCTTCTTCCTGTCCTCCAAAGATGCCATTTTTTAAAAAATATAATATTTGTACATTGGATTCACGAGATTGCTAACATCCTGACATCACATGGAATCACCTTGCATGGAGAAGTACAATAAGGTGGAAACCCCTTGCCCTGTGTGTGTGTGTGTGTGTGTGTGTGCGCGCGCGCGCATGTGTGCGCATTTCACACTGGCATTTGGTTTGTTTGTTGTGATACGGAGCGTGTCATTAGTGGGTGGCTCAGCCGCCGTGTGTTAACTCCAGCAGGCTGGAAAGGTCATCTTCCTCCCTGCTAATCGCACCCTGCACTAAGCCGTATCCTCCGTCCTCCCCAGCACCACGCAGCATCTGCTATGAATTCATTTGCGGGTTCTATTGGTATACTGCAAAGGAGAGCATATGCGTGAGCCAGCTAGCAGGGCTCCTTCACTCAAATGTTCATCAACATTTTAAAGTTGAGCTCCACGCAAGCCTCCCAGGAGACTGCTGGAGGATTTTATCGCAGATAATGGGACAGGAAAGAAGAGTAAAATCTCGGTAGTAACAGACAGTGTAACAAGGTTCATCTTCCTTCCAAGTGCAGTGGTAGGCCTCGACTAAGCAGGCAATTAAAATCCTCCCCCTCCAATCAAACCTCCTACTAAAGCCATTGAGAAAAGCCTTCAGGCAGAGCCTGGGAAATTTCAGGGAGGCCCACAAATGGGGGGGGCCTGGAGCTTAGGTGCCTTTGTTCATCGCTTCTCTGGTCCCTTCCGTTGGCGGCGTACTGGGGGGAGCAGCCCCAGGAGGGTTCAGCTCATTTGGTTCCATGCATGGTCAGGGGGACAGCACCAGCCAGGAAACCAGGACCAATCTAGACCAACTTCCATTAGCTTGCAAATGTGTGGCTCTGATCACAAAGGACACAGGTACACCAGCCCAGTAGCCCCAGCCCCACCACTGAGGGCGACCCTCCCCTGAAGGTGTGCCAATCAAGCGTCCCTGAAGTTGGAAGGCAGGAGTAGAATAAGCTGGTGACATTGTGCTGTCTGCTTGCAAATGGGGAGCATGTAAATAGGAGCCGTGTGACACTTCTGTGTGGCTGCTCTTTCTAGTCACCTCAATGGCTGCTCTCAAAAAAAAATGGAGGCAAAGCTTTGGAAGCTAGCCATAATGTGAATTAAACTCCAGCCCCAGAAGCAGACTTCTTCTCGCAGAGCACACCAATCAGATGCCCAAAGGGACAGGAAGTATCTAAGTACAGAGGGTGACTGCCTGACAAAATAGGAATTGTTGAAGTCTGACTTCACTGAGAAAAGACTCACCAACGAAGGAGGTAGCCGAGGGTTCCACCAAGGCTGCAGGGTTGGAATTACTTCTGTGTGTGTGTGTGTACCAGTACTAGGGTTTGAACTCAGAGAGTGCTGCCCTTGCTTGGATGGCACTATTGGAACCATTCCCATAGCCTAGCTTTTTGCTGGGTATTTTGGAGATGGAGTCTTGTAGACGTTTCTGCCTGGGCAGAGTAGCTTGAGTAGCTAAGATGACAGGCATGAGCCACTGGCACGCAACCATTACCATATTTACTTTCTAAAAAAAAAACAGAGAGAGACCAGGAGTCCAAATCTGTGTGCAATCTCTCCTATTGAGTATGGGGCTAATATTAACACAGTAATTCATAAAGTATGGTGCAGATTCAGGAAATAAAAGCATACGTGGACCACATTCTGACTGGAGGGCACAAGGTGGTCAGCCTGTGGGGCGTTTGCACCCTGTGCTGCTGGTACATTAGCACTGGGACCCGCTCATGCACATCCTGTGAAGAGCATTTATATCCAGCCTCTGTTAGTGAACACACACACACACACACGCACACACACACACACACACATACACCAGTAGTGGGGATCAGTCTGAGGCATGCAGCCCCACAGAAGACACATGTGTTGATCTTTGGTGTCATCACCCCTGGGCTTAGCCTCAGCCTGTGACTCTGGAGAGAGCCATTTGCTCTGTCAGCGCCCCAGACCCAATCCAGAACGTGACTCAAATGCTCAGTCAGTCTGGCTTGTGTCAACTCACCTTCGGCTCTTTACCACTTTCTTCACTTTTTATGTATTTATTAGTAACACTTTTAGAAGTAGCACCATAGACACAGTTCAGGTTTTTCATGATGAGGTTCAAAGTAAACAAAATGCTTCTCTCCCCTCTCCCCCCGCACCCTGTTTTCCAGAACTACAAGTGGGGACACGACAGAAAGAACTTCTCGATATCGACAGCTCCTCTGTGATTCTGGAAGATGGAATAACCAAGCTCAATACCATTGGCCACTACGAGGTAAAGCCACGCCTTCCCCAGCCCCGCCCTCCTCTCCTCGCCCAGTTGCAGCACACAGTCCTAGCCTCTCCCCGACTTGCTTTTTGTTGTTTGTTTTTTTGTGCTAGCCCTGGGACTTGAACTCAGCACCTGGGTACTGTCCCTGAGCTTTTGTGCTCAAGGCTAATACTCTACTACTTGAGCCACAGCTCTACTTCCAGCTTTTCGGTGGTTAATTGGAGATGAAGCATCTCACAGACTTTCCTGCCCTGGCTGGTTTCAAACCCTGATTCTCAGATCTCAGCCTCCTGAGTAGTTAGCATTACAGGTGTGAGCTGTCAGTGCTTAAGTCTCTTTCTACTTTCTGGAATGGTCTGCAGACTGGTCATTGCTGGGTAGAAGTTTGCCCAGTTGCTTTGTCAGAAGAATATACTTGTCATGTATCCTGTTCTTGGAAGGCTTCAGTTTCCAGTTAAGAGTGGAAGCTTCACCTTGACTGCGTTGTCTGTTTTTGTTTATGTTTTTTGTCGGTTGTGGGACTTGAACTCTGGGCCTGGGTGCTTCCCTCTGCTCTTCAGCTCAAGGCTAGCACTCTACCACTTGAGCCACAGTGCCACTTCCTGTTTTCTAGTGGTTTATTGGAGATAAGAGTTTCACAGACTTTCCTGCCCTGGCTTTGAACCATGATCCTCAGATCTCAGCCTTCTGAGTAGCTAGCATTACAGGCATGAGCCACCGTGCCCGGCTGTGTTGTCTGGTTTTGCACATGTGTGCTGGGAGAGCCGAGGCTGCTGTGTACCAAGTGCATCATGCTGGTGACCTCTGCAAGTGTCCTAAGTCTCATCTCATCCCTCAGAGCCCACAATGGATTCTGCAACCTTTTGTGCAAGGACCTCATTCCCATGAAGTCTACATTTCCTGTTTGCAGTGGTCTGTGGTACTTCCTTTAGTAAGGCCCCCTGGATTGCCACTGTGGGACATGGTGCCAGCACATCTGGCAGAGAAGGGAGAGCACACATGTGTAACAGATGACTTTTAGACTGGCCACAACTGGAGGAGGCAGAGAGCGAGCAAGGAATAGCTGAAGCCCAGGGCCTGGTGCTGATATCAGTCACAATTTCCCCTTATTTTGGCTCATTCTATCCCACAGCAGTCCCATGAGGTAGGAACCACTGCTAACCCCATTTGATAGATGTGTATGTACTATGGCTCAACCAGTATGGGCTTCTTGCAAAGGCCAGAATGAGGGGTGGGGCAAAATGGAAAACGGAGATCCTTCAGGCTTGTCCAGCTTCTCAGGGTTTGCATTTGATCTCTAAGACAGTAGAAAGACAGCTGAAGCATTGAGAAAAATTTGTGTTTCAAGAGATGATCGTGAGGCTGGGTGTGGTGATGCTCACCTTAATCTGAACTAGTCGGAGGATTGTGGTCTCAGGCTGGCCTGGGCAAAAGCACAAGACCTTATCTGAAAAGCTGCAGCGGAAAAGGGCTAGGATGTGGTTTAAGTGGTAGAGAGTAGAGCTTCTGCCTAGTAAGCTTATGGCCGTGAGTTCAAACTTCAGTACTTCCAAATAAAGGACGGATAGACCATAGATAGACGACAGCCAGATAGTAGGTGACAGATTATAAACAATTGTGGAGAACACAGGCATGGATAGATGAGATGCAGCCGGGAAGTGGGGAGACCATAGAAGCTGGTGGGAGAGGCTGGGGGAGGGGGTGGCAGCATCTCTGAGGTAGAGACACATAATGAGCTTCCGGTGGGCTTGGGAAGCTGCTGCTGCAGGCCGATTGTGTGACAGATGGGGTGGAGGAGGGTCTCCATTGACACTCAGGAGCAGTGGGGACTTTTCCAGAGCTGGGGAAGATGAGAGATGGAGCAGTTGTCTTTCATGTCTCAAAAGCCCCAGAGAGATGGGTCGGCCAAAGGAGGACCTTGGGCTTTTCTAGGCCCTGTCTTCATCCTGCACAAAGCTGAGGCTGCTGGGCACTGGTGGCTCATGCCTGTAATCTCAGCAGGAGGCTGAGATCTGATGATCCCAGTTCAAAGCTTGCCCAGGTAGGAAAGTCTATGAGATTCTTACCTCCAATTAACTACCAAAAGTGCTAGAAGCAGAGCTGTGGCTCAAGTGTTAGGGTGCTAGCTGTGAGCAAAAAGAAAAAAAAAAGCAAAACAAGCTTGGGGACAGTGCCCAGGGCTTGAGTTCAAGCCCCAGGACAAGCACACACACCACACACACACACACACACACACACACACACACACACACACACACACATACACACAAAGCAGCTGAGACTTTGAGCCAAGCTTTCTGGACAACAGTGAGGCCCAGAAAGCAGCTCATTCATGGTGCCACTTGGCTGAGTGTGTCTCAGACTCAGTTTGGTGACACCTGACTGGGTCCCATCCTGGGCTTTTGCTGGCAAAGATCTCACAAATCCAGATTGTGTGCTGCCCTGCGTGGCTCACACTGCCCGCAGTGTGGGATCACAGGCATGGTCCTTAACTCACACAGTTGATGGCAGGGCAGCAGGCTGCTAGGAGCCTGAAGGGGTGGATGCAACCAAATGAGAGGCGCTACCCTCCTGGGCAGCAGTGCTCAGAGGGGAGCTAATTGAGGGCTTAACTTGAGATTCAGGGGTTCAGACCTGCAGGCCCTCTCCTTCTCTCCTTGCATCTAATAGCAAGCTCATCTGATCTTCCCAAGGGGCTCCCCATCTCTGCACACCTCCCCATTGTACTGCACCCTTAGCCACCATGCAGCCTGGAAGGAGCCCTAAGGAAGGGGGCAGCCACTCACCACCATGAATAAGGACAGTCAGGACAGGAAAACAGAAGCACCACAGCTGTCTGCCAGACACAGGAGGCCTGTCAAGAGAGATAAAACATCACTCTTCATGGTCACGTCGCTGAGCTCGACACCTATCTGCTCAGGGATGATAATGAAATTAATCCGGCCTGTAGTCTCTTTCCGTACCCAATGATTTATCGGCCTCATACCCCAGTGTAGCTGCCTGGTGGTAATAAATGACAAAACGAGGACATGAAGGCTTAAAGGATTCTCCTTATGTTTAAAAAGCTAAGCCATGAGGCAAATAAACGCAGAGAGCTTGAAGAGAACTGAGCTGAGCTCTCCAAGCCTGGACCCTCCCCAAAGCCCGTTTCCTGAAGAGGGATGGAAACAAAGCCTCCATTGCCACCCTCAGACGCCCGGCCCGGCCGACCCTTGATTTAATAACACCTCTGCGGAGTCAAACATTGGGAATAATTTGAGAGGGCTGGGATGAAGTCTGCGTTTGCCCTTTCGTTAAAGAAATGTTCTCCTCAAGCATTTGCTTGAGGCTTCCAAAGAGACAAGATGCTAATTATCACTCTTAATTCATTTACTAATGCACCCTAGTTTGAGTCACTGTATGTGCTTGAAAGCAAAAACAATTATATATATATTTTTATATATATATATATATATTATTTAAAAATAGGGTCTAATTCAGAGTTTTAAGTGATTCAGACTTACCTCCCTCCAATTAGGCCAAATTAGTCCTGTTTTAAAGTTAATCTTTAGTGACGGCCAGTTCCTCCTCCTGTCTAAACAAAGTCCTTGCTGCTGGAGTATCAGCCTGAGTCTTCTCGTCTTCTGGCCTGAGGGTGAATAGAACGGAATGGGTCTCAGCTGGCCGATTTGTTGGATTTGGCTTATTGGATATTTGAAGAACTGATTTCTAGAGGGATCTGAGGATAGATGCAGCCCCCAGATCTCCCACACTGCTGTCAGCGGCCTGCCATCTACTGGATGGCATCTTCATCAACTTCTAGCACTATGACCGTGGCATTGTGGGACAGTAACAGAGGCAGCCAGTGCCCGCCATTATTCACAAGCCCTCCTGGCTCAATGCATTATCACTCACAACAACCAGGGCTCCAGGCCAGGGCTGTTATCCCGCCCCTTCTGGTCAGAGAAGTGGGAATTAGTCTAGTGCAGGCAAGCTGAGCCGTCTTTACCCGCACACAGCCCTCCCCAGTGCCTCCTGCAGCAGGCATGGCCTTTGCCATGGATGAGACCACACTTGTGTTAATGTGTGTCAGGGTGTGAGGGCTGCTCACCCCGGGATCTGTGGCTGGTTGCCCTATAACCCACACCTCCTTCCTCTCCTCTATACCTCTTGTGACCTCTCACTGGAAAACGTTATCACACCACACTTTGCTGTGGAGTAGCACTGAGGGTGCAGGACAGGTATTGGTGGGGAGGGACAGGAAATTTGACCTTAATAGATAGTACCTCTTAGTCTGAGCTGCAAGATTTGGAGAGATAGGAAGTCGATGAACTGCTCTGTGGTTAAAGAACTCTCCTGGTCACAGAGGTATGTTCTCATAGAACACTGCCAGCACCATTTACCATTGAAAGAATATGTAAAGGTAGAAAATGGGTTGGTTGGGTAAGGTGAAGAGTCCTTCTGGTCAAATATCACCTCTGATCCTAGAATATAAGGATTGGATCACGTCTAAAGGACCCCTGCAGTATGAACATCTAGCTTCTAGAAACTTCTAGCTTCTAGAAACTTCTAGCTTCTAGATGCTCATGTATTTAACACACAGATAATGTATCTTCAGTGTTAGGCACTGTTCTAAGTAGCAACTCCTCTGGCCCTTTTTTACCACCCCACAAAGAAAATACCATCATTATCCTCATTCCAAGGCCCAGAGAGGCTATGAGAGTTAGCCAAGGCCACTCAGCTTCCACACATGAAAGCACATCAAACACATGAAAAAGAACTCACTTTACAAATGGAGCCCTTCTCAAACTGGCTAGAGGGATCATTTTGCCTAATCTCCAAAAGCAGGGCTCAATTTAGGAAAAAAATATCTGGGTAGTTATTGTTCTCTAATAAAAATTCAAAAGGGTAAGTTTTCTGGAAATCCTGTGATGAATCTTGCCGCTGTAAGTTCCCCACACGAATTCACGCTTCTACTTCTATTTGTGGACACCTGTCTTTGAAGATGGTAAATACCTTCATCA